TAACGAGGAAGGAATACTACTTAATGAAGATAAACCATTCAATTGGCTTCAAATAGCCCTTAGCTTCATACTGCCCAGTGTTTATGGAATGTGTTATTGGAGATGGGTGCTTTTATTGGTGAAGAGGAAAAAAAATACTAGTCAGGCTATTTTCAATTACAATATGTGTGAAAAACTTGAAAGAGAGAAGCTGCTCTTTTAAAAGCTTGGTTCTAAAAGAGTTTCTATCTCTAATTAGCATAAAGAAAAGCATGGCCTCCCCGTTTTTGTCCTGGCTTTTCACTACAGTCACCAAGATACTGATTATTTGAGATAGGAACAGACATTATCTTGGGAGAGGTAAAATGATCAATTTATTTCAAGAATATAGGTCACATTTTTATAATTCAAAATTAATAATAAGGTATTACTTCAACATATGGACTGTTAACTATAGCTTTATTGAAGTCTTTGCCCAAAATTCTGGTCCTGTCAAAGTCAGTGGTAATTTTATTATAAAAGTTCTTCAGAAATTAAGAACTCAATAAGAACTTATGTTTTAATTTCCAGACCTGTCTTGTACTTACTTGCTTATTATATTAAATGCATTGGATGCAGAGATGTTCGGAACTCTTGCAAAATCAAGTAACTAGAGGTTATACATAATATAATGCAAATAATAACAGCCAATTATTTTATACAGTCAAAACCTATTGTCTTATTTATGTAGACAGACCCACTGAAATCTGGAATAAATTGGTAAAGTCACCTTACCTTTCCTACCTGGAAGGTATAATACATAAAAATAGACAAGCCCAGATACTTTACACTAGTGTTCATCATGTTATTGCAAAAGATAATGACTAGATGTTGTTGTGCACTTTTTTATACTGCTTCCATTCTTTTAATTTTGCTACTTAAAAGATAAGTGAACATGCAGCTGAAAGATATTTAAAACTTTGCAGTAAGGATGATTCATTAGAACTGTGTTTGTATTGAGGAACTCTCACTGTGTTTTTAGGAACTAATTATACAAATAATCATTTGCTGAGAGAAACATACATTAGGATTGGGGGTTTTATTATTAACATTAGGTGGCCATTTGCTTTCTAATTTTTAAATATTGGGCTCCCTGCATCAGAAGCTTTCTGGATCAAATCTGTATAAATCAGATTTAAGCCTCTTACACAGAAATTTTTGTTCTGGCTTTCTGTCTGATCTTTTGGTTTGGATTGGTTGTATATTGGGCACACTGGATTTTTAAGAAAAGGTAAAGTGTTTTGTACATCTTCTGGAGTGACACAAGAATGTGTAATAGTAGGAAATTAATTATATTTCTATACTTTTCCATAGTATTTCCTTAATTAACAATCTGAGTGTGTACTCTACTCATGTAAGTATCTTATATTCCACTACTATAAATGAAAGCACATTTCAAGTGCCTGTGAAAATACATTTTTGGTCTTGTACTTCATCTCATTCGGTGAGGAAGGAGAGGTGGTGGGGTGTCTTTGTACAGTAGGGAGTGTTTCAACTGTTCGAGCTCAAGGATAGTGATGTCATAAGTTTGAGTTCCCATGAGTAGGAATCAAGGGGATGGCCAACAAGACAGATATCCTGGTGGTTGCCTGTTCAAGACCACCTAACCAGGATGAAGAGGTAGACAAAGCATTCTATGGGCAACTGAAGGATATCTCATAATCACTGGCCCTTGTTATTGTGGAAGACTTTGCTTTAACTTGCTGGATCTCTGCTGGAAACTCAGCACAGCAGAGAAGAGGAATCCTAGGAGGTTCCTGGAGCATGCGGAACACAATTTCCTCACACAGATGGTGTGAGGGAAGACCTCACTTGACCTGCTGTTTGTGAATAGAGAAGGACTGGGGGTGATGTGGTGGTCAGAGCCTGTCTTGGGGATAGTGACCACAAAATGACAGCTTTCAATTCTTGGTGAAGGAAGAGAGGGCATCAGCTAAACTTTTGCCTTGGCCTACCCAGAGGGCAGACTTTGGCCACTTCAGGACAGTGGTTCAGAGAGTCTCTTGGGAAACAATCCTCAATAACAAAGGGATCCAATAAGGTTGAACATACTTTAAGAAGGAAATCTAAAAGCCACAAGGGCAGCTCATCCCTATTTGCCAAAAGATGAGCTGGAGGGGGCAGGGAGAAAGAAGACTGGCCTGGCTGTATAGGGGGCTTTTCCTGGAACTCAAAGTAAAAAGGAGATTTTATGACCTTTGGAAGAAGGCAACTCAGTATACAAGGAGTATACAAGGAAGAAGTGTACAAGTGTATTAGGTCATGTAGGCTGAAAGTTAGAAAGGTAAAAGCTGAGCTAGAACTCAATCTGGCCACTCCTGTGAAAGATAATTAAAGGGTTCTTATAAAAAAAAAATAACAGCAGAAGGAGGACCAAGAAAAATTTCCATATCTTATTGGATGCAGAGGGAAACATTGTACCTAAAGATGAGAAAAAGGCTGAGGTAGTTAATGCCTGCTTTGGGTCAACCTTTAACAAGAAGACAGTGTTATCAAGGCAACCAGCCCTCTGAGCTGATAGACAAGGAGCAGAAGGGAGCCCCTCTCCAAGAGAATTCAGTTAGTGACCTAGTGAGCTGCTTAGACATCAAAAGTGTAGAGGGCCAAATGGAATCCACCCAAGGATACTGAGGAGCCGGTGGAAAAGCTCACTCTCCCTCATTTACCAATGGACCTGGCTAACCTGGGAGGTCCCAGGTGACTTGAGTGGAGATTGGCCAGTGTGACACCTATCTACAAGAAGGGTTGGAGGGAGGTTCTGGGGAGCTACAGGCCTGACGTTAGTGCCTGGCAAGGTTATGGGACAGATCATCTTGAGTGCCACAGTGCAATCACATGGCATATGCAGGACAGCCAAAGGATCAGGCCCACCCAGCATAGTGGGAAAAAGTAGATCCTGCTTGGCCAACCTGATCTCTTTCTATGAACAGGTGATTTGCTTGGTGGATGAAGGAAAGGCTGTGGATGTTGTCTACCTAGACTTTAGTAAAGCCTTTGATACTGTCTCCAATGCCATTCTCCTGGAAAAGCTGGCAGCTCAGGCAAGTGCTCTGTTCACTGGGTAAAATCTGCCTGGATGGCTGGGCCCAGAGAGTGGTGGTGAGTGGAGTTACATCCAGCTGGTGGCCGCTCATCAGTGGGGCTCCCCAGGGCTCAGCACTGGGGGCATTTCTGTTTGATATCTTTATCAATGATCTGGATGAGGGGATTGGGTGTGTATCCTCAGACAACACCAAGTTGGGTGTGAGTGTTGGTCTGTTGGAGGGCAGGAAGGGAGGGATCTGGACAGGCTGCATTGATGGACTGAGGCCAGTGGCGTGAGGTCCACCAGGACCTGGGTTGTTGGTTCATAGCTGGGCCAGGTGGCAGAGCACTGCCCCGCCTTTCCTGCTCACGTTTGGCATCAGGCTGTGCTAATTATGAAGGGACACAGGGAATGCTCCCACACCCTTCCTGGGAATCCTTGCTTTTGCAGCACAGGTAAATAGGACAAACAACTTCAAAGATGAAGAGAAAGGAGGTTTTAATGCACTCAAGACTGTGATGAATCTTGAATTCTTGAACCTAGAAAAACACTGCTGGTGTTAGAAACTGGAACTGGGGTTTAAATACTCAGAGTTGAGCTGAAGATTAATGTTTCAGAGCTTCTGAATTGTTTCAGAGTTTCTGTCAGTTTAAAGATGAAATTATCATGTGCTTTTTCTACTTTATGTTCTCAGTTATTGATTTTTAGTTTCTAGTAATTGTTGCTTAGTTCATTTGCTGTTAGTCTGGTAATTGTTTAGTCAAGTTTCTGGTAATTGTTGCTTTCTAGTGATTTCTATCAAGTTACGAAAAATAATTTACTTTGGCCACATATACATGCCTGTAAAATGCATTTAAAAGAGAATCCTACAGTATGAGATAATTTTTGTCAAAAGTCAGTACATAATCTCAGTTTCAGTGCATAAACTGAGATTATACACTGACTTTAGGCAAAAATTATTATAATTTAATACTAATTTAAAACTTGTGGAGGAAACTTTCAAAGAAAATCCACAATCAAATGCAGGTGCTACGAACGCTTGCCAGCGTTCTTTCTAACGATATTGAAATATTAATTTTGTTAATTTACTTTTTTACCTAATTAATTGAAAAAACAATTTTGATTGAGTTGGTAAAAGGATTTCAAAATTGCAAAACAGTGATTTAGGCATTTAGATCCCAGGCAGTAAGAATCCTCCCATCACTTCTCTCTCAAAACTGCACACTTGGAATAACTGTGCGGACCTCCAGAGTATTTGCACTCGTGCGCTTGAACACCGAAGTGTCGATTTAGCGAAGATTCTGATATTTATTATTAATCAGTGGTTATTGGTTTTTACTGGCCTCGGGCCCCTCCGGCACCGCGATTAAGCCGCGCTGCGGATGCGGGCGGCGCTCGGTGCTGCGGAGCCCCGCTCTGTCCGCGGCAGCGGGCATGGGAAGGGACCTGCGCTTCCCGGGGCCCGCGGCGCCGCGCTTCCTCCCGATGGGGATCTCACCGGCACACACTGGGCTGATCCAGGGCCGCGCTGGGCGGGCGCTCTCGCACACACACGCGGCCTGCGGGCCTTCCAGCCGGGGTCCCGCCGCGCCCGCCCGGGCCGGCCCGGCTCTCGGCCTCAGCGGCCGTTGCCGGCACCGCCTCCACCTCGGTGCTCGTTGCGCACGCGCAGGCGGGGCCTCGCCGCTGCACGGTTAGTGACGGCGGCGCCGGGGACTCCCGCCGCGAGGGCGGGGCGCGCTCTGGGGATTCCCCGTCCCGCGCGGAACCTTCGGGATGGTTCCCGTAACGTCACGGCGGGGGCGGTACCGCGGAGCCCCGCCCGCTCCTCCCTAGGCTCCCGCGGGGGGGCTCTCGCGGAGCATGCGTGTGCGGGTGGGGAGCACTGCGGCGCGGAGCGGAGCCATTTTGAGGGAGCGAGGCGAGCGCACGGTGTGCGCGTGCGCGGGAAGGGGGCGGGGGCACTCGCAACAGCCCGGGACAGCGCCGGCAACGGGCGCGGAGCGGATACAGGGCAGCCGGGCCGCCACGCTCCTTTCCCCTTCGTGCTGCCCGGACCGCCCTCGGGGACGGCACGGGGAGCCGCCCCCGGCGGGGAAGGCGGGGCAGTCGCCAGGAGGGCCGAGGACGGGTGCTTGGCGGAGCCGCAGCGGGAGGTCGTGGACCCCGAGCGCCGGGGCTCTGTGTGCCTGCACACCCCGAGAGCTGGAGTTCTGTGTACCCATACACTCCGGAGCGGGCGGCCTGTGTCCGCACACCCCGGCAGCGGCGTCTGTCTGTCCCCGCAGCCCGGGAAAGGAAGTATGCCCCGGGCCGCGCTGGGGCTCCCTCTGCGGCTCCCGCTGCCCCTCCGGGAAATGTCCCTGGCCCAGGTCAGCGCGTCCCGCCCGCGTGCCTTCTGTACATCTGTTAGCTTCGCCAATAAAACGAGACATGACCCTTTCTTTCTTTGCCTGTTTTCCCCCCACTCTCTCCTCCCAGCCCCCACTGCCCGTGGCTCCAGGCCCCAGCCTGTTTTCCTGCCGAGCGGGGCCGAGCGGCAGGAGGAGGTTTCCGCTGATAGGCTGCGCCCCCCGTCAAGCACTGCCGCCGCCCTCTGTGGCTGCGAGTGGAGGTGTAACCCAGGCTTCCGCTCGCGGGCTCGGCTCCGCGGCTGCGTCCGTGTGTGCTCTTTGGGATCCAGGTTCCTGCTTGCTTCTGTATTTAAGATTCAGGCGTTTGGGTGTTGCTTGCTTCGTGGTTGTCTAACGCCAGTCCGAATTTCACAGGGGAGAACTGATTTTTCTGGTTCTTTTTACCTTAGGTTGCTTGAACGATAGAGTCAGTCCTGGATTGTTTGTAGCCTTTTGCTTCAGCTGGCAGAGAAGAGAAAAGGTGGACACGGACCTGCAGCAGTTCTTCCTGTGAAAGGAAGAAATATTGGACATTGTTCTGGGATAATTTGCGCGTGCTTTGTCCAGAAAGGGCCTCTCAAACAAGCAGTAGACATCTGGGAAGAGAACTGAGGAAATCGTGAGGTTTTTTCTTCTAGCTGTGTCGAGCACATCACCCTTGGATTCTTTTGTCCGCATGGCATGGATACATAGCTAAATTTATGAAGTTCTGAATACTTCAGCTGCAAAAATAAAGTGCTTTCCTCTTTTTACGTACTCTTTTTCTTCTCGGCAACATTCTATCTGAGTCAGAGGCTTAACCAGTTTTGTTAACTGGCTGCAGGTTAAATGTGGCCTGAGTCACTGTGGGGACATTGCTGAAAAGTTTCATGGCAGATTTTTTTTCCCCCTTATTTCATTTTTTAGATTTTCTGACATAGTCTTCTCTCATTTTGCAGTGAGACCGATTTTATAAATGAAGAATTTAATAGATGTTTGTTTATACTTGTTTCTTTTGTATTTTATTTAATATTTTTCTTGAAAAATGTTGTTGTTCATAAGCAGTATGGAGGTATCCAGATAACTGTTTACAAATGCCTCTGCTACCGGAAGGTAGGAAATTTCTACAGTTCATATGTGAAATTTGGATTTTTGATATCACAGTCTGTGGAGTAAAAACTGTATTTATTTCACTTGGAGCTGATGCTGCATACAGTGGTATCTACATGCAATAGACAAGAGAAGAAACTGTCAGAGAAAATAAAAGGCTTTTAAGACAGACATTGGCAGACTTTGTAAATAGCCTTGCAGAATCTGTAAGCGAGGAGGATGGGTAGCTGATTTCTGTGCGGTCAAATCTATGTCAAAGTGCCACGAATGTAGTATCAACAGGAACTCGGGATACTATCTCAAGGAAAACAAACTGGAAAAATATAAATCACGCAGTACTAGCACCTTGTGTCGTCCTCTTGGATTAGGTAAGTGTTGTAGTGTTCATAAATCAATTTTCACTTGAAAAAACATTTTATCGGTAGAACAGTTAAACCTGTAATTTTTACTGGTTAGAGGTTCTTTGGTGGTTGTTTTTTGTTTTGTTTTGTTTTTTGAGAATGTTGAATGTTGAAGCTTGTTAATTTTTACTTGCTGGCTTTTATAATGGAATAATTCCTTAAGACTTTGAAGAATACAGCTACAAGGAGAAATGTAAGAGTGTGATTTTTATGTGAGATTAAAAAGTAGCTATATCTAGATTAAATCCACGAGGAATTTAGCCTTTATGTTAATGTTGTAGTCTCAAGAGTAAATGTTACATCTTTTTGACCAAGTCTTCTGGATAGCTTGCATGTGCCATTCCTTCCATTTGTGTTAGATGTGTTTGCAGCATCAGGCTAGTAATAATATAGAGGGGTTTTCACTCTTTTTTTTTCCTTTCCACTATTCTTTGTCACATATGAAAGCCAGAGGGTGTTTTTTACCAAAAATTATTTTACTGTCTATGCAGACTAAGTTTTATCTGTGTTGATATTGTAAGATTGATTTTAGTGTATTTACCTGTTCTGTAATGGCAATGAATTGGACTGACTGGTCTGCGAGTGTAGCACTTCAAAAAGAGCTCCTTCTCCTTGGAATGATACAAAATTAAATCTAGTGGTGAATTGGCTTATCTTCCTTGTTATTTTTAGATGTATTGTAGTTTTCTTCAACCCACAGGGATTAAATATTTTTTAATTTTGGCATTAATGTGTTTATAATAATTTTTTGTAGGTTTGCATTCAGCAGAGTGCTACTGCCGGAAAGAAAATTAAGATGGACAGAGCAACTTAATTCAAAAGTCAGTGGTAATTTTACTGAAGTTCTCTATCCTCTACCCCACCCTGATGATTCATAAGGCTTTAAATAATTAAAGCATTTTTGGGTAGACTTTAAACTGAGCGTCTGGTAGAGGTTACACTTTTACCTCAGCCGTCACCTTCTAAAATATTTTTGAGAGCTTCTCCAATACTGAAGTAGTGAACTAGTGGCAGTAGTGAACTAATGAAAAAAAGGTTTTCTTTAAGGGCAGTGCGAAGATATTTGGGAAGTTTGCATGTCTTAAAACCTCGTAGAAAAAGTGTAGTTAAGCATGTGAAACTGTATTTAAAAATTACTGCAGTGTATTTTAACTCCCGTGGCTTGTTATTTTGACCACAAATGAAGGACTTGCATCTACATACGTTTTGTAAATTCTTAGTCTCACTAAAGTTCTTATCTCTATGTTGTCAATATCTAAAAGTTGAACTACCTTCAGTTTTGTGCTTTGGATGGTCTTGCTGCTTTGTTATCTTAACTTCTCTTTCAGTTTTGCTGTTTTGAAAATATGGAAACTATGGAACAGGAGTAGGAGTCTGTTGCTGTAATCTCTGGCTATGGCTTGTGGCTCTTCTGTATTGAGTCTAGGTGTGGCTGGGGTTGACTGGTGAGCTGAGCCACTTGTTAAAGAACCAAACCAATAGAAAAAGAATGATCTTGTATATTCCTTTACTTGTATGACTATGATTTTTTGAAAGCATTTGATAGATGGAGAGTTCTGGTGTGAGTTGCCATTTAATTTGATTGTTGTCTATTGTATGCGCATGAGAGTAATAGAAATATTCACTTCTTAATTCATAGAAAAGTGATGTGTTGCTTGTTTTTCCAAGCTATTAATTTTCAGTGCCGACATACTTATATTTCTTTTCAAGATGCTCTCACTGAAATCAAGGAGCTACATCCCCCACTTACTATTTTGGGTGGCATCTTTTTCTACACTCTTCTTCTTCTGGAAGTTTTGAGGAGTTTGCTTTTTAGCTTCATTAAATTATTTCTGTTTTTACACTTCTCTGTTTGCTGGTAGGATAATTCTTTTATCCTTTCACAGTACTTACACTTGGGAAGTAGGGGAAAGGAGCACACAAGATTCATAAATGCTTATGGTTGAAAGGGACAACAAAAGTTGCAAGGTCCACAAAAAAAATCACTGGGTTTTATACATAAATTGCACACTTGGCATTGAAATGGGTATGTCAGTCCCTGGCCTACTATATAAGCACACAGCTTACATAGTAGGGATGGAGTAGAAAGGAAGAGAGAAGGGAAGAGATGAATTAAGGAGAAGGAGAGAGAGAAAAAGGAAAGAAGAGAGAAAAAGAGATCACCAGCCCTGACTCCTACTATTGGTCTGGCTATGGGGTGTCCTGGGATGTGCAGGCAGGGTGTGGTGGGGTAGCTTTTTAGAGGTAGTTTCCTTGTCCTGAAACAAAGGTTTTCATTTTCTATGTAGATCAGTTATCTTGTATGGTCCATTGTTTGAGGCCTTTCTGGAAATGGCTTGGAGGCTTTTGGGGGATCCCTGATGATCTCATTATCCCCCTGTGGCATTGGGCTTTGGTCAACAGTTCATGCTTGCTTCTGTGCTGGTTCTATCTTTTGTTTTTTGTCTCTCTGTGGACTAGAATGAGGATGCTTGTCCCAGAAGAGTGCTGTCCTACCCCTGCATGGCCCCTTCTCCAGCCATATCTCATTTTCCACAAACCACTGGTTGGCTCTGCAGTTATCCAGCTATTGGTGTTTGAGATATACACATTAGCCCCTTTTCTTCAGGGATTCTATAGGAGTATGTTTTTTTCCTATTTGTGAACATATGTGTTTGACAAGGATTCAGGAGTGTTTTGCAGCTGTGCCCTTGCACCCTAAACATAATTCATACCTACTGAGGAGAGAACGCCAAGCATGCTGGTCCACTTTCATTTCTTCCCTAGATTTTTTTTTTCCAAGTGCTTTCAGTCTGTTAAATGCTTTACAGACAACTATGAAGATAATGTCCTTGCTCCTGAGAGCTTATACTTTAAACCTTGATGTAAACATATCTTTTGTAGAGGGATAACTGTCAGCAGGTTGTGTCTTTTACTAATGTGTTTATTCTGGTAGGTTCTTAAAATGGGTGCATTTGTACTGGCTAATTCTTCAGAATGGTGCAGGGTGCTCTACTGTTTGAAAAAAGTGTTGGTGGAAACTTTCGAGAAAAAGTACCCTTTAATCCTGCAGCAAAGATGAAACAATTATATCAGTAAAATGATAGAGGCAAATTGTGCAGATATTTAGTGTTGTACAAGTTAATGTACTTTGTGCTCCTTTTATTTTTATTCTAATGAGGTTAATCTGTTTAACTTTTGTGGCTAGCACTGTTACAGTGACCGTTCATCAGTAATGTCTGAGGAAGTTGCTTTTATTTCCTTTTTTTTAGTAGTAGGAATAAATTCTGTCCTGCAAAGACAACTATTTGCAGACCTTACTATAAACAGATGTGAACAAAACTTGTCACATTTTTTGTTTTGTTTTTTCTTGCTCTATGTGTTTGAGTAACTGAATGTGGTACCTGATGATAATGCCCTATGTGGTGCTATCAACTCTTCCACAGTCTCCTCCTTTCCACCCATGTCTTAGGTAGACATACTCAGGGAAACAGCTGAAATAAGAAGTTATCTGCTTTATATGCTCAGAATAGGGCAAAACTTCTGCCTTTATCAGCTGCTACTTCTTTGTCGTGACAATTCCCAAGTGCTGAAGCATTCCTGGTGATTTCCTACATAATATATGCTAACATAGTGCAGTGATGTAATTCAACTCACACTTTAGCTTTTGAATTTGTACCTTGTTAAAGGGCAAGAAATGAGCATCTATCAGGCTTTTGCTGAATGGTCAGTACCATTTAGTGGAATCATTGCACACCCAAGTGTGTTACACTCTCAAGGAGAAGAAATCCGGCTGTAGTGAATTGAAGTTACTCAGTTGAACCTGGCTGTAAATGTGAAGTTGTTTCATGTTATTTCATAACTTGCATTTTTTTAAAAATCTGTGTTTCAGTACAGTGCAAAAACAGAAACTTTTTTTTTTTGTTAAAAAGTCATAATTATTTTATCCAAAGGATTTAGCAGCTTCATCTATATCTAAAACATTTCTTAAAAGATGTTTTGATTGTTGTGACATTTATATTTGATTCACAGAGGTAATGTTAAAACCTGTTGCTTGTGAACCATAACTGTATAGAGTAAGGGGGACCATATGATAAAAAGCAGTGCTCATATTCTAGATCCTTATGCAAAACACAGTGTGCTTTAATTGGTTCATTTTCCCATAAGGAATTTAAGCACAAAGTAGAAATGAAGGTGGATTTTTTTTGTTGGGTTTTCTATATTTATGCTAAGTCTCTGTAAAGATAACTATTAAGTCTGTGGCTGTACTAAGGAATGTGTTGGCTTTAATTGGTTAAAAAACTGACATTATGTTTTGACTCTGCATATTCCTCATACCTAAGTGTCAGTGCTCAGATCTAGCAGAGGACCTTGCTCCTTCCTTAGTGCTCTGCAGGAAACCTTAGTTTTTATACTTCTTTTTAAAACGTGAGGCAAGAAGTTTAATTATAAATTGTATGGATATCATCTTTTGTTCTTCTGTGTTGTCCAGTGGTAGAATATATATGAGGACAGTTCTGTATTGGATGGTGGGGATATCAAAACTAAAACTAGAAGTTTTGCTTGCTCTGCGGTAGCGTGATTGAGAAATAAGAGGCTACAGTTGAACTGTTTCAGAGTTTTTTGTTTAATTGGTGGGGGAGACCTTCAGAAGTTCAGCTCCCTTTCCTTTCTGTTGAAGGTATGAGTCTTAGGCAATAAATTTTAGAGAACCAAAAAACTTAAGGGAATTACCACAACCAAGCCTAATCTTTTTTAAAAATAGTTTTTCATTGAAATGCCACAAGGGGTGGCATGATACTCTTTCTTTCAGAGTGTTAAAAGTTTGACTGTAAAGATGTAAACTTTTTCTGTTGTTATGGCTGTTCATTTACACAGAGAGGAAAGAAAGAAGGAAAGAAGGAATCTTCAGTTGAAGTGTTTGTCATGCTTTTGCAGCAATTTGTGATCAGTAGAAATGCTTCCAGTTTCAAAAACTCATAAAGCTTGTGTTGTAAGAGTTTGAATATTATTTTCTGTTTTAGTGACATACAAATTTTGAACAGCAAAATAACTTAAAATTAGCTTATTTTGATTTATTGGAACTACATGGATCACAGAATAGTAAGGAAGATATTGAGTAAACTGTGTCTTCAAAAGGGGAATGAAAATTAAGATTTATAGATTTTAAATAAAAGTATTGTTTAGATCTTATATTTAGCAACTTGATTTCAAATTAGTGCTACTCTTAACTAGAGATAGCAGGGAGGCATAACAGAGGGATCCGCTATCACTGGAAGTTTTTCTTTTGAAAAGAGAAAAAGAAGATGTGTTTTATGGCAGAAGAAAAAACTTTTGGTAGTGTGGGTTATTTTTAAGATCTGCTTAGTATGAAAAAAGTCCTGAATGATCCTGTATTTGAAGAAGGAGTGTGTAGGCTGATGGCTGAGTCTTGCGCACGTAGTTTCTTTGCCTAATTCAGACCAATATTGGTAGTTTTCCTTTGGCTAATGATAAAGAGTTGAAGCCAAAATTTGAAGCTGGCCCATGGTGGGAGGACTGAAGGGCCAGTGTTCCAACTATTTTGTTGGACCCTCTGAAGTTCATACATATGCTCTTGTTTGTCTTCTGATGAAATAAGAATTTGATATGTATGCTGGAGCTCATTATCAAGGAAACAAAGCAGTAGCAGCAAATTGAGACACTGAATATAACCTTTTCTTTCCATGCTCTTGTAACAACATTGTAGTGTGCTTTAATTCTCACAGCTTACAACATTCTTCTAGCCCGTTGGTAGATATTATGGTAAAAATTACATTGACAGAGTGAGGGTGGTTTGTCAAATGCGTGTAGTTGAGAAGTG